TGTAGGAAGATTAAATCCGATCTGGTTGCAACAAAATTGCCAATGTGACTATACTGATTAACAAGAAGACAATTGAAGAAGCTTGGGTGCGTTTTTATGAGTTAAGTGCTATTTTCCATCTGGAGGCTTAGTAGATGATATCAGCTTAAAATCTGGCCCAATCCGATCATTGGGCAAGAGCTTAGGTCAACCTGTCGAGATCCACTACCACAGATTGGCACACGTGGAGAAATAAAATCAGCGACACCGGCGAGGCCAATTAGATCAGGCATGAGCACAGCCGTACCAAAGCAAGTATAAGTACCTCTCTACTACTGAGCTTAGCCAACATAACTTTTAAAAAAGAACTCCAATGGGACTATGGTCTTTTTAACTCCACTAAAATGTATATCAGCTGATAGGTCGCTAAAGGAGGGCTTATACAACAGCAGACACAAAGGGATAATGTCATAGAATCGCTAGAAAGGAAGATGAATAATAATATACGTAAGCCAACAACCGGATCAAAATCTTATATTTTCTTTACACACAGAGAGACCACTTACTGACATCATCATACGACCATCTGTCTACTACTGACATATTTCAGCGGAAAAATGACAAGTGTGATGAATCTACTAACCTTTTTGGGGGCCGAAACGTAATTTTCGTCGGACTGTGCGTTGAGGGGTTTTGCGCCCTGCAAGGATAAATTCAAAAGGGTTAACCGGAAAAGTAAGATGAAGGGACACGAAAGGGACCTTAATTATCGGGGCAAGTTAAAAAGAATTTGAGGAGCAAAATTGTTCAGGTTTTGCATTTTTCCTCTTCGAAATGAGGGAGGAATATTGAAGAAACTAGTTTTCAGATAATAGCAGAAAGAAAAAGGGCCAGTTAATTTTTGACAACGTAGTGAGCTTTTTTAAAAATCTCAGATCGGAAACACGGAAACAGTAGTAGCCTAAAGCTATATTAAGTGGCCATAATATGTACGAACAATTTAAAAGCAAAAAATAAAAAAAATCGGGAAACTTATTTGAATTCTAATAGTCCAATAGTTCTCTAGTACTCGGGTGGAAAATAAGTAGTTAACGAAATAGCAATCATTTTGGATGAATTATATTTCTACTAAAAAACGTATAAGTAGATGAGGTTGTTTAACTATCTGAAGCGGTGGCGCAGGACAAAGCCTGGATTTCTTATTTGTTCAGACAACGTTAAGACATAGCTGAGTCGGAATGCTTAGAAATTCAGGACGAACTTTTACACAGATAGAAGGACTCTTCAAAATTATTCCTTCACCTTTAACAAGATATTGCAAATCAAATATTTGCACATTTCGCTGTCAGCCAAAACGTTTATCCGGTCACGTTCTGTCTATTTTATTGATCTGTGTTATTAAAGAAACACTAACCTTGCAGGCAAGAATGTTTGCCTTATAAATATATCTAGTTTCCATTTTAGATTTGAACATGCAGGTTCTTCCTGTTGAACTGGTAACAAGTCAGCCGCAGACGTACGAATTCGCCGCCTACCTGTTTAACTAAACTGCTGCACGCAATCGATCTTTTTTCAGAATGACTAAGTATGGAAACGACCCCTCTCCATAAATCCCCGAAAGACCCTCAAAGAAGCATTGAAACCGATAACTTTTTGAGCTGGAATACTGCAGAGTACCATCGAGGAAATTATCGCTGGAGCCGCTGACTGCCCAATACGCTAGACATACGTGAAATGTTCAGTAAATGCGATGACGTCGCATCGTAGCCTTTAAGCAGATGCCTCACATCTAACAACTCGCATATTTACCTGCAACGTAGAGTGGGAGTCTGTCCCAGGTGTCTGATGGGGCGAAGCAGGAAGTATTTGTGTATCGGCAGTCTGAGTGTAACCCAGCACCCGTTCGTTGTTTGATTGGCTGGTCGGTAATGAGGCAGCCGTCGGACCAGCACTACAACAGAGACACAAGTTATAAAGGTGTGTGCGGGCAAAGTGAACCTGTCGACTGCAGTCACGAAAAACCAACGAGAGGGGGGCACTATTGCGGAAATAAATTTACGTGGGATGTGTTGGTCGACGTGTACTCTCCTCCGAACTGATAATGGTGGTGGCATTTGTTGAGAATGCACTGGTTTCGAGCTTCTTTCGAGAGCCAGCGGTCAACGGAAGGGTGGCGAGGACAAAGTGTGCGCTGAAGCGATTGTCGTCGGTGAAGGTCAAGATCAGGGGTTTGCCCGGTTGGCCGCAGTGAACCACCAGCGGAGATCCCACGGTCTCGCCGAAGGAGATAGCAGCCTATAAATGTGGAAGAGTGCAGGAGAACTTACACACTGTTAGAGCGGACGCAATAAAGTAAAAGGAAAAACATTCAAGTGCCTAGGAAAGTGAATATTTGGCTGAAAATTCCCGATCCTAGCATACGAAGTTCGGAAAAATGGGTCTACATGAACACTCCTAATAGCTACAGGAACAACCACGGATGCTAGTTCTGCATATTGCAGGAAAGGTGGCAGTATCACTGAAGTAACGGTCCCCTTGAAGGATTCCTGTGGCTGGAGATAGTACATAG